GTAACCAAGTTTTGATAAAAATGGGGATCACTTGAAAAGTATTTAACCTGTCTGTAGTTACGTGACTTTTGGAGGTTCACTTTTCTGATTTTTATTTTCTTTTCACAATTTATTTAAACTAGGTAATATTAGGGCATCTTTGACTTACAGTTTAGTTAGAAACTGACAGAATCAGAAAGGATTAGTAAGAGTAATATAATAATAACAGAAAAAAAGATACAAAAAGCAGCTTATAGATCATCTTATCAATGATTTTAAGATTGTTCTTTGGAGGAGTAGGAGGGCCTTGTTGGTTTTTTGAGATACCTTAGGATCTGCTAAGGAGAATGATTCCCTGGGAGTTTGGCACAGTGGACCCTAGACCCCTTTACCATTTGAGTAGACATTTTACATATTGGTGATAAATACAAGTATTTTATTTTAAAAAAGTATATATATGTATATTAAAAATGTCATTGGATAACTAGTTCTGTTCCTCCATTTTAATAACAAAATGACTCAGCACTAGAGAAGTAAAGTTCATTAGGGCCCTGACTTTTTAACTTCAGCTCGGCACTGTTCAGTTAAGTCATACTACTTTCATGTGGCTTTGGGAATATTAAAGATTTTAGCAGTTTTCAATAATGAACAGTCAAGATAATGTATAAACCTGACATCAGGAATATTTCATGGACAGTATTAATATGTAGATCTGGAATGATAACTAAACAAAAGCAGTTTCATGTTGGAACTTGTTTAATATGTATTTTTTCTTTGAGTATATTTTTTCATCATTTCAAGCTCAAATATGTTTTTATAAGTTTTAGAATTTGTTATCTGAACTTTCCCTGATTTTTAAAGCATGTTAAAAAGACCTTTTTGCTAGAAAATAGGATATGCTTCATTTATTTCTCATTGTGTAGTATAATTAAGTTAAATAAACTTCTGATTAAGAGCAGAAAATAGTTCTTTCAGTTTATACCTAGGTTTTATTAAATAACTTTGATAGGTATGCAGTTTTTCTGTAGTGTTTATGAAACTTGTGTTTGTCCTTTTCCATTAAAAAAGTTCACTTTGCGACTTTTCACTAAGAATTAAATTAAAACCAAGAAAATTTAGCATGATTTATAATAACATCTAATGAATGAGTAAGTGATAGTATTTGAAACAAATAGAAAACCTGTCTTATTTTTTTCAATATATTTGCCTTCAGTTACACTTTCTCTGGACCTTTTTGGTAAGATGAATTTGTTAAGATTCTTTATTACTAAGTGTGATGTTATGCATAATTATTTCAATTTAATTGACTTGGGAGCTCCTGAGATTAGTGAAACACACGTCTGGTTGTGTGTGTGTAGGTTTTGGAAGTGTACTGGTCTCTCTCCCCTTCTCCTCTAGCACTGTGCCAACACACCCATTTACTATATCTGCTTTTGAACCAGTTGTCTGTGAACTGAATCCACTGAAAATGTGAGCCAAATCAAGTTTTGTCTGTTGGATATGGTATCTCTACTGAGGAAAACTGAATAATGCAAAATATTTGTACTGGTTGGATCATTGCTGTCACTATATATGACCATATGGATTAGAAACCTTTGGAACTGGTTTGCAAAAGGTTTTTGGAAATGTTTGGAGAAGCAGGTTGGAGAAATCCTAAAACAGTGATAGTGAAACTTACAGAGCTTTCAGTGATAACAAATAGCCCTTTGTGGGCAGATGACCATAGTTTTGTCATCACTGCCCTAGAATATTGTCAGCTGAACTTAATAGGTGATTCTGGTCAGTGTAGGAGATCAGAATGTTGACAGCAATTTGAATAGTAAAGATCAGGCTCTGAAGGTTTCAGATAAGAATGAAGACTTTATTGGGAAATGGACTAAAGGCCATGTATGTTACATTATGGCAAATAATTTGTCTTTGCTTTTGTCCATGTTCTTTTTGTATGAGGTTGAATTTAACAATGGTTGACACTTTCATCTCATGGAAGAAGAATCAAGGCTGTCCAACATTTAGACTAGGGCATCAGTATTACAGGCTGATTTTAGTCAGAATTGTAGTGAGAAATAGCAGAAGTGGTTTAAAAGACACAGATTTTAATCTCAAAAGAACTGTGTAAAATTGAGGCCAAAGCAAGTATGGTTGCTGTGGAGATTACTTTTAATAGAAGAAACCAACTACTTTGTACAGGCATGAGAAGAAAGATACCTTGAGGACATCTTGGGAATCAACTGGATTCCACCTATTGAAGGTTCAAAGGCAGAAGTATAAATCTTTCATTTATGAAAAGTTCCTGGGCCTCCTGCTTGAGGCCTGTCTAAGACTTCAGTCCATGGGGTTCAACCTTTGAGGCACACAGGGGCTGATGCTATCATGGGTCCAAGGTAGTTTGGCCACTCTGAACTCAGGACGACCTTGACATCATGCACATGGCTTTAGTGGCCTGCAGAATGCAAGAGTTACTGAGTAAGGAAAGCTTCCACTGATTTCAAAGGAAAGCCTGGGTGACCATTTTACATTGCTGTTAGAGTAAATTAGTGTAACTATTCATCAGTGTGAGTTTCCTGAAAAAACTTAAAAGTAAAACTACTATTTCATTTAGCTGTACCACTCCTTAGTATATAGTTAAAGGAAGTAAAGTTAGGATACCATGGGAATACCTGCATACCCATATATATATTGTGGCTTAATTCATAATAGCTAAGATATGGGAGCAACAGATGTCCTTTGATAAATGAATGGGTAAAAGAAATGTCATGTATTTATGCAATAGAGTGGTATTATTCAGTTTTAAAGAAGAATGAAGTTTTGGTATTTTACAGGAAAATGATTGGATCTGAAGATCACCATGTGGAATAAAATAAGCCAGACTATGAAAGACAAATATGACACATTCTCTACATTATCTGGAATCTAAAAAAGATGAATGAAATGGAGGGTATTATTAGATAAGAGGAAAAGAGAAAGGGGGGAAAGTGAGGATATGGAAGGCAGGGTAATAGGATATATATGAACAAAATATATGTATTGAAACTCATTACATTAAAAACTAATAGCAGTAATAAAAGCAAAAGAAGAAAAAACTCTGAAAAACCACTTCTATATATTGTACCAAGTAATGTTATGTATAGTAGTATGTCTTTCTAAAGTATACTTACATATAATATTATATATTTATTATAAAATAATAAAATGTGGTATATATACAATGAAGTATTATTCAGCTGTAAGGAATGATGAAGATATGTCATTTGCAGGAAAAGAGATGGAATTGGAGTTTATCTTATCAATCAAAATAAGGCAGGCAAGAAAGATAAGTACTGTATTGCATGTTTTTCCTAATATGTAGACTTCAAGAAAGATGACATGGAAGTAGAACAGAGACTTATTAGACAAAGGGAAGAGAATAAGGAGGAAGAAGGAATATGGGAGGATAAAGTGGTATGGAAAAACAAGATTTACTGTTTATATCTTCAGGAAGTCATTGTTTTTTTTGGTACCTGTTTGTAGTACACAGTGATCACGTTCATCCTGCATCCCTTCTTCCTCTCTCCATTTGCAGAAGCTCCATTTCCAGTTATATCCTTCAATTCTTTTTGTAATCCCTTTTCCCTTTCCTCCTGTCCCTCTCTCTCTTCTTATTCCCTTTCGTCTTTGAAAAATTTTGTCCGTTATTTTTGCTTTGGGTTTCTCACACAATAAAAACAATGTGATATTTAAACTTCTGTGTCTCATTTATTTTTTTATTAGATTATGGTCTTGAGGTGCATCCATTTATCTAAAAATGACTCAAGTTTATCCTTGTTAAAAGGCAGAGTATTACTCCATTGTATGTAAATACCGTATTTTCTTTATCCATTGTTCTGTCTATGGGCATATGAAGTGTTTCCAAGATTTAGCTATAATAAACTGTGCTCCTATAAATACGGGTGTGCATGTATTACTATGTTATGATGACTTTAACTCTTTTGGGAAAAAACGTTTCAGTAAGGGAACTAACTGGGTCAAATGGAACCTCTAGTTTTCTTTCCATACAGATTTCCATTAGTTGTTGTACCATTTTACACTCCTAGCAACAATGGTGAGTTGCTCCTTTTCTCCTAGAGTCCCAGCAGCATTTGTTACTAATTTTGTGATGATAGCCATTTTTTTCTGGAGTGAGGTAGAATCTCAGAGTTGTTTTAGTATGTGATTTTTGAGTGACTAGTGATGTTGAACAGTTTTTCCGTGTATTTATTGGCCATTAATACTTCATCTGAAATCTGTCCATGTCAAATGTCTGCTTTTTGATAGAATCTTTAAATTTGGAGGGTCTAATTTTTTTTTTTCTCTTTTGGGTACCGGGGATTGAACTCATGACCTTGCACTTGCCAGGCAGGTGCTTATGCCACTGAGCTAAATTCCCAGTCCTTGAGGGTCTAATTTTTTTTTTTGAGCTTTTATATACTCTCACCATTAGTCCTCTATCTGAAGAGTGACTGGAAAAATTTAAGAAATCATGATTTTGACATTAATGAGGTAAAAAAGTGTCTATTACATTCTGTTCAGTGAAACAAATTACAAAACTATGTATGGCATTACCTATTAAAATTTTTCAACAATGTATTTATAGAGATATTAAGTTGCCTAGAATGATATTCACTTATATTTTAATCTGTTTCTGGTAATGAGATTCTGGATACACTTTTCAAGGGTATTTTTTTAAGACTTGTATTTTAAACTATTTCTAAAGGGAGATCAAAAACTGCTCTATGAGGTGATAGGTAATGTTAATTAATTTGATTGTAGTAATTAAGTCAAACCATATATGTATCTAAAACCATGATGATGTACACTCTAAATATATATTTTGTTTATAAATTACAATTAAAATAGAATTTGTTTAGAGCACTAAAAATTTAGTTTAGCACAGTGTACCCATTCTTCTTAAGATACCAGTATGTTTCTCATCTCCTGATAATTCTTTCAAAAAATGATAATCAAACGGCAGCTTAATCTTTCTCTATTTTTTAAATTTTTTGCAGGAGAGGGCTGCTCACAATTTATATGGCCAATCTGGTAAGTAATACTGATTTTTTAACTCAGTTTTTTTTTTTCCCCACATGCTTTTTCCTTTCCTTTTCTCTTCTCAACTACATTTCCATTTAAAAAAAAGAAAAAGGAAAACCACTTGAACTTGACCATATTTGCTGCCTGTGGTTTGAAGGATAGACTTATATGTTTAAAAGAACCTGAGTAGCATCTGGTTTGTATCTTTTGTACTGAATTGACTTCCCTTTATCTCTAGGGGGAAAGTAATTCTTTGCTTTATTTCCTTCATTATTCTTTATCTAGTTTTCTCTGTAGTATGTATTAAATTTCATATCCCAGTGCCATTTCTTGTGTGAAAAATATATTAAGGACGTGTTTTTATGATGTACATTCTTAAACAGTGAAACAGCAGTGGTCTTATTTCTAAAAGCTTAGTACATTTTTCAATATAGTTAGCTAGGTTTCCAGATTTCTAAATTATGGAAATGAATTTGATGCTTTTAGCCTGACTTTGTTTACAGTAAAAATACAATCAAGGTTTTATAAATTTTACCACCAAGTTCGTATTTTAAAGACATACTTAGGTAAGATCTTTTAAGGTTGTTCAGTAGACTTGATAGACAGTGTTAAAAAAGATTCAACCAAGAAAAGATAAATATTTATCTCAGGATAGGTTTATAAATTCTCTTACAAAGGCACATATTTGCATACCTCAGAGATATGTTTTGTAGTTCATTTTAGTGATAATTTTTGTTCCGTACCATGTGTTCTCTACCGTGTGTTGCTATGATAGGTGTTGGTAAGCATGCATTCATGGTTTACTATGCGTGGAGAAGTCACAGTAGGAATAATAATAGGCTGAAAGATGAAATTATAAGTTACTACAGGAGACACAAGAGCAGCACCAAAATTATTCTGAAGAGGAGGTGTTAGATCAGAGAAAAGTGGTTCTAATCCCTTTTGCATCATAGATCTGCTTTGAGAATCTGATGACACAGAAACACCAAGTAAGTTATTTTAACGTTTATACTACAAAAAGCTAAGTGTTCTGAATTGTTTCAATTGTAGTGAGATGGAAATTTGAGGGTCCCAGGAGAGCAGACAATAAAGAATTTCTGTTTTATTTTTATAATTGAAAAATTCTTATTAAAATATAAGCTATAGTAAGTTAGAGACTATTTCTAGTTTACTTCCCATTGCACTACAAGCACCTAGAGTTCTCCCTCTCATACAGAGATTTTGTAAATGTTTGTTGAATTAATAATAATCTTACTAGGCATAGAATTCTAAATTAATAGTGATTTGATTTTAATTTATAAGTAATCTCTTTTTATCACTGTGTTTAAGATTTTTCTTTTGATGTCTATTTTGGCAAGTTAGATTCATTAGGGTGCAGGCTCATTTTTTTGTTTGATCAGGACTCATTTTGTGTCTTCAGTTTGAGGGTTAATGTCTCTGAGTTTAAAATTTTTATCTATACTTTTTTTGACGTTTGCTTTTCCCTGATTTCTATATTCAGTGATTCTGGAACTCCTTTTAGATGTATGTCAAAGTCCCCCCCCCCGCCCATTACTTGTTGGTATTTTTCCACATTTTCATCTCTGCTAAATTTTGGTTATTTCTTCCGATCTGATTGCAAGGTACATCTGGTAGGTACATGTTTGCCCATGTGTATGTTGGGGAAATCAAACTCAGGTTTTTTTTTTTTTTTAATGTACTACTGAACATACCCATTAAGCATTTACTGTTTATGTTTGGTTTTGGTTGAAATAGGGTAGGTTGTAGGTTTTGGCCTTGAACCTACAACATTCCTTTTGCCTCAGCCTACTGAGTACTGAGATTATAGGTGTGTGCCACTAAACCATCAGACATTTACTTTTAATGATGGTATTTTAACTTTAAAAAGGTGTTAAATTTTAGACATGATAAAAGAATAATACAGAAAAATTATATATTTATAAAGAAATCTAATATATCTTTGTAATATTTTTCCCATAATTTATTGGGTATAAACTATTTATTTCTTCAAACAATTTTTATAATTTCTATAGAGACAAAGAAAATATTATTTAGTTTTTCCTCTTGCATTATTGATCTAAAATGCTTTTCAAATTTTTGGTTTTTGAAATAGCACTATGTAGTTTAACACACAGACTTACTGTCTGTTTTGAATTCTGATGTATTTCTTTTTTTTTAATTTTATTTAAGGCAAAAAAAAAAACTGAAAAAAGGTACAAGTTATACAGAATTTCAGAAACAATAAACAGTAGGAAATCACTAGTTAATTACATATTGTCATCTTAGAAATAGTTGCTCAAGTTACAGAATTAAAGCATATAGAGTAAGACTGCCTGGCTAGTGTGGTGAAACTGCAAACAGTTTTGTTCAGTGGTCCAACAAAACTCAGTAATATGGTTATCTACTTATACACTTAAATATACATGCAGTTATATCCTTTAGAGCACTTTCTTTTCCTTTCTTTTGTACAATGACAATTACACATTTTGGGTTTTATTACTCCCACAGTTCTTATTATTTCTTTTTGAAGAAAGTAAAACCAAATGTGACATAACAGGACAGAGTCAGTCAAATCAAAAGGATGGACATAATACATAATGTAAAAACAAAATACAAGGTGATCAACACTGGTTACCATGCCTCTTGCTATCTTAAAAAGAATTGCCTATATCATCAGTTATAATAAAATTGAACAAAACAGTAAAGAACAAGACCAATAAAACCAAAACATTGGAGACATTAGAGGACTTCAAAAGAAGCTAATAGTCAACCAGAATGGGCGTCATAGTGAATCTTATTGTCTTCATAGTTGTTGCCTATACTTTCGAACTTGGTACTATCAAGCATAACAGAATAGAGGAAAATCAGTCAAAACAAGATGATGAGAGCAATACAGAGTTTCAATTCAAGTTAATAGGTTACTATAATATATCCTGCTTTTTTAATTTATTTTTCCCTTAATTAAGAGGATAAAAATGAAAAAGTAGATAATAAAAAGGAGATTGAGATAAAAAAGGGGGCATAACAACAAAACAGCGCAGGTCAAGACATAGCCAATTAGACAAAATAGTGTTTCACTACAAGATAATCTCCACATAAAAGTAGTTACCATAGTGTCTCTTTCCTTAAAATCTTTGGGTATAACTTCGTATACTGTAGCATCAAACATATCAAGACAATGTAAAACCGTTCAAGAGAATGACAGTATTACAGGGTATTTAGAATCAACTAACAGAAAATGAACAATGGTTTCTGTATAATCTTGTCTATAAAAGTTTTTGTTTATATTATCATATATTATAAAATCCAATAAAATACAACAAGTTAAAACTGATGGAGACAGAAGAACAAAAGCTTGATGGGACTTCAAAACAAGAGGATATTAAATCAGCACTACCTATTATGATGTCTTGTTTTCTCCAAAATGGCTGTTCCTACCATCCAACCTTCTCTGCCTCATTTCTGTTGAGCTCTTTTTCTGTCATTAGTTGTCAGTTTGTCTTCTTCATTTTGTTTTCTGCTCCATTCATTGTGGCCTCTCTGCCACTGTTCCTGGAATCTTGGTATTTTTCATTTTTAGAATATCCTGCAGTAATCTCTGTAGAGTTGAATTGGTGGTTGCAAATTCCCCTAGTTCCTCTTTATCCTGGAAGCTTGTTTTTCCATCAATTTCTAGGGACAGTTGTGCAGGATATATCAGTCTTGGCTTGAGGTTATTATCTTTCAAAGCTTGAATTATTTCCCCCCACGCTCTTCGTGATTTGATGGTTTGTGCCGAGAAGTCTGCTGTAATTTTGATGGGTTTTCCCTTGTAAGTGATCTGTTTCTTGTCTCTGACAGCTTTTAATATTCTGTTCTTATATTGGATTTCTGGAATTTTGATTATTATATGCCTGGGTGTAGCTCTGTTTGGGTTGTAGGTGGCCGGGGTCCTGTATGCCTCATACATCTGATTATCTTTACTTTTTGCTAAATTAGGGAAATTCTGCTGGATTGTTTCTGTGAATAGCTTTTGTAGTTCATTTGTTTGTGTCCCTACTTCTTCTTTTATGTTCTTAATTCTTAAGTTATAGATCCTCTTATGATCTTCTAGTCTTTGTATTATTGCTGTTTGTTTTCTTGTTATTTTTAAGAAGTTTTTCATTTCATGCTCCCACCTTACAAATCTGTCCTCCAGTTCTGATAATCTATCCTTAGTTTCTTTCAAGCTGTTATGCCAGCTTTTATTAGAGTTTTTAGATTCCTGGTAATCTCTTTGAAGCTGTTTCACGTATTGTATATTTTTGTCTATTTTCTCCATCAAACAATTCTCTCCTTTTTTTCTGTTCTTCCATTCCACCATCTGCTTTTTCTTGGACGGTGCTTAGCATTTCTCTAACTATTCTACTTATTTCTTGCTTTGTTTCATTAAACACTTCATTTTTGAATGAGGCTCCGGAGATATTGCTTTATGTCTATTGGTGCCATGTCTGATATTGCATGTTTTCTGTCTTCATTCTCTTTTGCATTTACCTTTCCTGGATCAGTGTTCTCAGGATTGGGGACTGAGGACCCTTTCTTGTTGCTTCGTCTTTCCATATTTTTTGTTCTTTCCATACAAGCATATGTAGGAGGCCCAGTTTTTTTTTTTTTCTCTTTGTCTGTTACAGTTTGTTTGAATCCACTGGCTAGATGTTCCCACCCACTGCAGTGTACTAGGGAGACACAGACCTGGGCAGCCTCTGCTGGGCCCATCCCTCCAGATCAACCTAGTGAAGGCTTCATTGCTAGGGTACACCGCCAGGCGCAGGGACCTGATTTGGGCTAGCCTACTGGATCTTAGTCCGCGGCATCACCAGGCCAAGCGTTCCCCACCAATCCTGCTTGACAGGGGAATATGCGACTAAAGTCACTGCAGGGCCCTGTTCCGGCTAGTCTGCCCATTCCCAGAATGTCCTCTGTTGGAGCCTCCTAGTCTATGAAAGGGTCCCCATTTCTCTCACTCACCGCAGGTTGATTTAGGGCTCCCT